TAAATAAATAAAACCTATTTATACATGCTTATATAGATGAATTTTATTATATAAATTTAATTAATAATTTAATTTAATTAATTGGTATGAAAATAATTTATTTATGTAAGGGCAATATAGTAATCAACCTAGCTTTCATTCCGATTGAAATGAATTAGTAAACAACTTATATGGAATCAACATCATTCCTACTCTGATTCCTGACAATTTTAGTAAACACCTTCAACAGGAATCTGATTCTGATTCCACCTCATTTCAATTCCTCCTCAATCCAATTCCCTATCAATCCAATTCCTTTCAATTTGATTACGGATTAGTAAACGCGCCCTTAGTGTGCTGAAAATGTGGTTTGGTATATTAAATTTCATAATATAAATTATTAAAAATAATTTCAAGCATGTAACTACTTATATTATAATGCTTAGTTACTGTACTATTTTACCAACATATTGAAAAATCTCTTATTGTTTAAGTGCATGATATGCATTGATTGCAAATTAACATGTTGGAAACAAGGTTCTAAAAGGCGGTAAGCTCTAGTCGAGCAGCGGGTTGGGATCTAGCACCTAGACTGCTAGATGAGGGCATATAGCGAATTAGGCGGATTTAAGTAAATTTATTATATCTGATATAAATAAGTGTCTATTTATATTTAAAAAACACAAATAATTAGATTGAGATACATAAATTGCAAAATAAAATGACATATAAATTATAAAGTATTATAATATATTGAAAACATAAGGAACAAACATATAATGAATCTTCATCCAAGTATTCAACAATTCTTTTACATTTTATTAAAAAATTAAAATTCAAAATGAAATTATCGATGTTCTGTTTAAGTCGGGGTCGCGACCTTAAGCGGGTTCAAACGCGCTAGGTGGACCTTTAAGCTTGTCTTTCAAACGCGCTAGGTGGACCTTTAAGCTTGTCTAAGCACACTTTCTTGATTTTCAAATGCTTAGGGACTAATCGGGACAGTGACTAACCGCCTAACGTCTAGACATAATCTAAATGGCGCTAGACGAGCATTTTTAGAACAATGATTGGAAACAAAAATTTCATTCGGCACTGTGTAAAACTACCCAGTTCAAAAAACATATGCGAAGCCCATTAATTTGCTTTAAAAACCAGGTGCCTAAAGCGGACAATTACCAATAACTAAACCGGCCCCCTGATTTCCCTCTCAAAACCAAAAGCCCCTCTCATTTTACCGCCACCGAAATCCCGCCACCTGTTTCCGCTTACCAGAAACTCCCACCGCTCGAATTGACCATCCCCAACAAGCCGTCGCTAACACATGTCCGATATTTGACTACGCGCTCCGTCCCTCGCGGGTCCAATCATTGCGGAATATAAATACCCTCCACATCATCCAATTTACCATATCAACTTCCCTCCTTCCTCTATCCGTACGCTCCGATATTTGTTCTGCTTCCTTCGAATTACATACATTTTCCGTCAGAGAATAAAAGTCAGAAAATAATTACAGATGGGCGATTTGAAACCCGCCGCGAAGGCAATGTGTCCCGCCGGAAACGTGCAGATGAAGGTGGTCAAGGGCGACTTCGGCTACGTGCTCGAAGACGTCCCCCATCTCTCCGATTACTTGTCCGATCTTCCTGTAAATTTCCTCACTTTCCCCCCCTTTTTTTTATTTTTTTTAATCTGCATTTACGTTTATTTTCTGATTTTAATCGATTTTTTGGGGGTGTTTGGTTGCGGGTGCAGACTTATCCCAATCCGTTGAGGTTCAATCCTGCTTATTCAGTTGTAAAGTACGTAAATTTAATCCATACCCATGATTTCTGGTTTTGTTTGGTATTTGATTCGATGCAAAAGACTGACTCTTTTGTGATCTTACTGTTTTTAGGCAGTATTTTGTTAACGTCGATGACACCGTTGCTCAAAAGGTAATTACTCTTTTCTTAATTTTATAAATTATTCAAAAAATAATAATAATTAATGTATTAATGTAATTTCATATAGAGGGTAGATCACATTCTGTATTATTTTTGTATAATGTCAATTAAATTCTGTTTATTTAATATATATATTTTTTTAATTTAACAGTTTTTGGGATTGGTTGTTATTTGTAAGTGTGAGCTTGAAATGCTATGGTTTTCCTCTGGCTTACAGATTGTTGTTCACACGGATAGTCCGAGGGGGACTCACTTCCGGCGAGCAGGACCACGCCAGAAGGTATCACATTTTTGCTCTCTAATTGCTACCAAAGTAACAATACTATGAAATGTGTTTGTATTTGAGTGAAATGCGTTCATGTGTTTTGGTTTGGTTCAGGTTTATTTCGACCCGGCTGAAGTTCACGCTTGTATTGTAACATGTGGTGGTTTGTGCCCGGGACTCAACACCGTGATCAGGGAAATTGTGTGTGGACTTTATCACATGTATGGTGTCTCGAAAGTTCTTGGGATAGACGTGAGTGTTTACATTAACATAATCTCGAGGTTCAATTTGTTTTTTGACATCGAAAAAGAAAATAGTCTGTTATTCCTTTTGTAAAATAGACATGAATGTATGTTGACATTTCTTTAGGTTCACTTTGTCATACTGACAAATTATACAATTACATGTATTAGGGAGGATACAAGGGTTTCTATGCCCGAAACACCGTTACCTTGACACCCAAGGTTGTCAATGACATCCACAAACGTGGTGGTACTATCATTGGTACATCGCGAGGAGGACATGATACTGGAAAGATAGTTGACAGCATTCAGGATCGTGGAATTAATCAAGTAAGGATTTGTTCTTCTCAACTATGGTTCTGCGTCATATTAGCTATATATATCGTACATTCAAACATAATATCTCACAGACAAGGCACGGAGACGAATTCTCATAGCATGCGTTTTGTGATACAGGTTTTCATAATCGGAGGTGATGGAACTCAAAAAGGAGCAGCTGTTATATATGAGGTAAAACTACTCTCCACAAAAATATGAAAGTTTGATACATTGGCATAAAGTAACTGTTTCTGACTTGTTTGATAATATGTATGTTACAATCTATTTCTTTATTTGCTATTGAAATTTAAGTAATATAGAATTTACTCGTCATTGTTCTAATGTCAGAACTATTTCTTTAGCAGTTTAGTTTTCATTGTGCAGGAAATTAGGCGGCGTGGCCTCAAAGTTTCTGTTGCAGGAATTCCGAAAACCATAGACAATGACATTCCGGTACTTCTTATACAGAACATATGATCTAATTTTGGTTTCTGCTTTCGTTGTTTCGGGAAGTAATTTTATTTTCTTCATTCAGGTCATAGACAGATCTTTTGGCTTTGATACTGCGGTTGAGGAGGCTCAACGTGCCATTAATGCAGCTCATGTTGAAGCTGAAAGTATTGAGAACGGTATTGGTGTTGTGAAGCTAATGGGACGCTACAGTGGTAAGTATTCTCACACTGCGCCTAAAGATGTTTAATGTCATAGACTCATGGAAATATGTATCCTAATCGATGATATTTAATTGGGAAGAAATTGTAGAATTTTATTCGCACTAGTTATGTTTTGCCACCAGCCTTGTACAGCTTTCCGTTTAAACTGGAATTCCTGATGCAGGTTTCATAGCTATGTATGCTACACTTGCCAGCCGAGATGTGGACTGTTGTTTGATTCCAGAGTCTCCCTTCTATCTTGAAGGGAAAGGTGGACTTTTTGAGTACATTGAAAAACGACTAAAAGAAAATGGGCATATGGTTATTGTGATAGCTGAGGGTGCAGGACAAGATCTTCTGTCAGAGAGCTTGCAATCCATGAACCAGCAGGATGCTTCAGGAAACAAGCTACTTAAAGATGTTGGGCTATGGATTTCTCAGAGGATAAAGGTATCCCGTGCAATCTTTTCTCCCCGCTTTATTTTCTGCATATCATATCAATTTTCTCTTTATCTAAGAATCTACTGTCATAAACGTCACAAGTCGTTCTTCTCCATTTGCAAGTAAAAATCTCATCTGTGACTGGCAACTGAGGAGTTGATAGCTGATGCAGAGATATTACTAAAGAATCTGTTTAAATTTCCTTTGTTTGATTAACGGTTGTTGGGTTATGTTTCAGAGTCACTTCGGAAGACAACAGAAGCTTGCCATTAATCTTAAGTATATAGGTCAGCAGCCGTAGATTTCCCTCCCTTAATTGTTTCTGTTTCCCCATTCAAAAATTCACCAAATCTATGTATGGAATAGCATCTAACCAGTCAAATTGTTTTTCCAGATCCAACGTACATGATCAGGGCTATTCCAAGCAATGCAGCCGACAATGTCTACTGCACACTTCTTGCTCAAAGTGCTGTTCATGGAGCAATGGCAGGGTACACAGGCTTCACATGTGGGCCTGTCAATGGAAGGCATTCTTATATTCCTTTCAATGTAGGTTCCCCATCTCTTACATAGTTATCGCTTCTTATTTTCGCCTTCACTGCATCTTCTTCAATTTCATGCGATGTATCCCAATAGAAATGTTGATCCGAACAGTTTAAAATGAAGACCCATCAGTGATTGATCTGTTTGATTTTCAATATGCAGCATATTACAGAGAAGCAGAACAAGGTTGTGATTACTGACAGGATGTGGGCGCGACTCCTTTCTTCAACCAACCAACCGAGCTTCTTGAACCCTAAAGACGTCAAGGAAGTCCTAGAAGAGGAAGAGCCTCCAACCCAAATGTTGGAAGGGGAAAACTGTAAGGATAGCAAGTTCGCAACAAAAGACATCCCTTCCATGTCATGAAAACATGTCTAAGTTATAATCCTTAACATGTCTAAGTTATAATCCTTAGTCAGATGATGATTGATGTACCATCCCCAGATTGCGGATGATGGAAGTTCAAATTGACTTCTTATATATGTAGACCATTGATTGTTCGCTTGTATCTAAAGTTTTTTAATTAAGCAAGTTGTACGAAAAAGATGTATCGGTTGGTTTCTGCTTCCACGTATTTGCATATCAGAACTTCACTCTCTGTTGGATCAGTGTTGTATTCAAATTTTATTTATTTTCGTATCCAAAAATGGACCGAGTGGAGAGAATAACAAAGAATTTTTATTAACAAACAAATTTATATCAATAGATTCATACAAGTATTGCATCACACAAGTTGGCCGACTAGAAAAACAATGTTGAGATGAGAACATAAAAATCTACTGCCATTATCTCCTCCATTAGGAATTTGACGGTATCTGGCGCTTGGTGGATTATATCCTATATACGCCAGAGGGCTCGGCGTTCTGAACAATCCATGGATGTTCAAGAAGCTTGTGTAACGGCAGGCGTTGAGCAGAATCCTTGACAAGCATCTGCATTTAGAAGCGAAAAAATTCAGGCATTGAGCATAACCCCTTTATTTTGAAGCGACAAAGATTACCAAATACTCGAATTTTAAGTGCACAAAATGAGGGCAAAAACCTGACTAATGAGGTCCTTTGCATGAGCAGAGACAATTGGTTTCGGAGGAAACTTCAGATCCACTTGCACAATCCTGTGAAGACAAATAGAAGAGCCGTATTAGCCATGTACCATATCCTATTGCGAAAATTTGCATCTTAAAATTGGTGTTAGCGTAAAATGGATGTCACTCTATGCAGAATTCCTCACCACTTATACACAAGTTACATGAGGAATAGGAAATTAGGTGATAACAAAAGCTATTTTGTGAACTTTAATCATTTTGCAGTCTACAGTTTACCTTCTATATGTGTCTGAATGCTCCTTGGCCTCGAAAGGTGGGACTCCGTATAGGAACTCATAGCACAGGATGCCAAGGCTCCAGATATCCACACTAGCATCGTGCTCTACACTCTCCACTGTTTGATGACAAGTTTCACAAGCCCAGAAGTGTTAGTAAGGTAGTAGATATAGCAGGAGTGTTTTTCACAGAAAAATGCTATAAATGGTTTTCTATAAAAGTTGCACAACGATAAGAAATGGATGCGAAAGATGATCAATTTGGACACACTGTTCCAAAAGCATGATACAGTTTATATGGTAACACAGCAAGTGAGTTTAAATAAAGACAAGTCCTTCTAGCATTTGCATAAGAACAGTGTCTTCTATTAATATACCCATCTCAGGAGGGAGGTAATCAAGAGTGCCGCACATGGTCCGCCTGCGGTTGAATGTGTGCACTGACCACCCAAAATCTGCTATCTTGAGTTCACCCTATCAAAGGAGATCCACATCAATTCAATGAACATCATATACGTATTGGAAAATGTAGGGAAACATATAAAAGCATGGATGGCAGTCAGTACCTGTGCACCAATGAGTAGGTTTTCTGGTTTGATATCTCTATGAATTACGTGCTTTCCATGGCAGTATATAAGGGCGCGGGCCAATGATGCAACATACTGCCAATACAACATACATAAACACATCAGAATTCTAGCCCAATTTTAAAAAATAAATGACCTAACATGGTAAAGTATTTATGTCAAAGCACAAATATAAATGAATTACGAAACACCACATGAACACAACTTACAGTGGCAGCACGTCTTTCACTGAAGTATTTACACTTCTGTAGTTCCTTATACAGTTCACCTTTAGCAGCATATTCTAATATCAAATAAACTCGTTTCTGCAATAAATACATTTCCAATGAAGGGGTAAAAAAACCTTTCTTCCACTGAGTAATACAGGTTTAAGATGTTGAAACATAACTAGCTTAGGAGTAATATACCTGATCGTAAAAGTAGCCGTAGAGGCGTAGGATATTGGGATGTCGAAGATGACTTTGTATCTCAACCTCACGACGAAGCTGATGTTCAACCTGAGACTGCTGCAGCTGGCTCTTAAAGAGGACTTTGAGTGCGACGATGTGATTGCTCTATTCAAAGGATACATACAGATCAAATTGGGTACACAATTGAATCTAGGCAAACTTATAAGAATGCATATTGTAAACCAAAATCTTCATTAGATTTCCCTATCCATGCCAATCTTCATAACAACCAAAGAAACGACAAATCAAGAACGAAATGCAAGTCCGAACCTATAAAAGATTAATTCCTTCACCAAAATAAACCAACCAAGATCGAAACACCTAATATCCATGAATTGAGCACAAGTACCAAACAAAAAAAATAAATAGCAGCTGGAGAAAATCAAAATTTGCAAAATGCATGCCCATAAAAAAGAAGAAAAGGAACATACCCTCTTCTCTCTTGCCAAATAGACGTGACCAAACTTTCCTCGTCCGAGAGGCTTTCCGATATCGAAGTCGTTGAGCGTCCATCTCCTTGTCTCCGTCGCCGAAACCTCCGAAGATGCCTGTTGAAAGTTAAAACCGAGCCCATTTTTCAAAATCCACATAAAATACAAAAATCAAGAAATAAATAAATAAACTTTTCACCAATGAGCATTTTAAATTCTCGAAAATTGAAGCTAATTGATCAACCCCAGATTCCTAAATCTTCGAATCAGAAGACCCTAGTGTCAAAATTTGAATTTTAAAAATGCAATCTCAAAATTCACATAAACCTAAAGAAACCATTATCTTCATAGGATCGAAAAGAAATGAAAACCCTAGAATTCGAATTGGGGGATTCAAAAACCCCTAACGGTTGAAAAAAAAATTGAAACTTGAAAGGGGTTTCTTTAATTCTCACCTTCTCTTGGGGGGCCTGGTTCTCCGCAGCAATCGCCATGAGAGAGAAGAGAGAGAGAGGGGGAGACAGATAGAGAAAGAATGACAGAGGGAGCAAGATTGAAGGAAAGGGGAATGCTAAAGAAGGGATTGAATAAGCACTTCGCAACGGTCGAATTCCCAGTTGTCGCCACGTGGTCCTCCCGCTCTGGCTTTTGTCTGGGACTTTTCAAAATTTAGGAAGTAATTACCTGTTGCCGTGTAGATTATAGTCCTGTGAATCTTGCGGGACTTACTAAAATCGACGGTGCCTGTTTCTTTATTCGGATGAGGAGCGTATTAGTATCGAGTCTTGCTAATGTCACTGACTGTGAAAGTTAGAAGGTGACAATCACTCCAAGCAAGCTTCTTTTGGACAGATCGGAACGCTCGAGATTTTTGGAAGGTCGGAACTTGCGTGTGTCGAAAATGGCTCCGAATTTGAATACTTAATTAGAAAGGGCAATGACTCAAAATTGAGGACTTAGTTGATGATGTTCTTCAGCATTGAACACCTTGATATATCTTTCATGTTATTAAAAGTAATTTTTCTCAATTGAAATGGTTCATTTAGCATTCTGAAAATTGAACAGTCAAAATTTAAACATTAAGATCTAACTGTGATAAAAGGATAAATAACATGCAGAGGCATTCATTATCACAAAATATTGTTTTTAATTAATAAAAAAAGGATTCATTGGTGGTTTGGTCACGATAGTTTACTTTTTTGGGAGTCGGAAATACTCATAAAGGCATTTCAACTTCCCCTCACCATCATCGTGTGATTCATTAGTACCATAAATCGAACCATGATTTGACCTGTGGAATATGGATCTAGAATTCTTTTCAATCATTGAGCAATATAATGGAATATTGTTGAAGTTAGTCATTGTGGGTAATCCAAGTTAACATTATAGCTAGCCACACAAGAGAAAGCAAGAATGCCAGGTGGTTTTGCTCCGAATGGAACTTTATTTTGGCCATGAGGAATTGTTACTATAAATAGAGAGGGGAGTGTATCATTCAAGGCCCCCCCAAATCACCACACAAAACTGTCATGCGCAAACTCTTGTTCTACACGAAACTTCTCAAACACTTTGAGATTTTTATGTTCCTTTTTTCTTGCCAACACATCTTCAGTTTGGATTAACAGCACTGGAGTCATAGAATCAGCCAACCGAAAAACACCTTCAGTTTGGATAAACAACACTGTTTCGAGACCGACTGGTTATCTATCCAAGTTTCGGCCAGCAAGGTATCTCCGAATCCTTGTTGGAAGAGGTCATCTCATTAGCCTTCTCGGTGAAGTGAGGTGTTCCTAGGTTATGACATTCGACACACTCAAAGTCGAATTTGATATTGAACTTTGTAGAACTGGCAGCCTTATCTTCAGGCTCTAAAACCCAAAGGCCGAGATTGTTCCTTCCTCAGTCGCAGTCGCAAGATTTAGAAGTCATCAGTGCACCCAACACCACATCAACATTCATTCACTCCCCGACCATGCTTGGCCGACGAGTTGGCACACCTCGCATTCAACCAAATGACGTAGTTAGCTTATTAGCTATTCGGCCTATGCGCCATGTAGGCTAGGTAGTTTTTAGGATCAACATTTTGGCACACCCGGTGGGACCCAGTGCTAAAGCTACGAAGTTCATGACCATTGAAACATGGTAAACCAAAAAGAAAACAACTATGGATAAATCAACTACCAGTTTTGCACCTATAATCCAGAGTCCAGTCCAAAGTAATATATTACCACATGCACATGATCTTCTTGTTGCTGTGGCACCAGAATCTACAGGCACGGCTCACCGAGAAGTGGAAATAAATCTCAACGGCCATAACATGATGTCGTAGTATTTACTCAAACTACAAAGGTCGCCAATGATAGACCTATTGAAGGTCTAGTAGAGGATTGTGACAATGAAGACGATGAGACTTATGGCGTACCGTCTAAGTCATTTTTTCAGAAGAACTATCTTGACAACTCGAGCACATCACTAGTCGAAAGGCAGGTGGCTTAAGCATTTAGCAAGACATAGCAAATGTGAGCCACACAATGACCAACAAGTTGCTTGAGAATCTAATTTACGAGGTTCGAGAAAGTAGGTTTGCCGATAAACAGAACATACCACATCTTTAAAGAAAAATGCTCCCTTAGGAGAAGAAAGACCGCTACCAGTGCAGGCCGACGTAGAGTTTAACCGAATCAAAACAATTGATTTGGAAAAACTATATGGAGAAACTAGTACTAGTTCGGCCAAGAACTGGAGTAACATTTACTGACATGGATGAAGTTCAGAAGATGATTGATTCAGCCTTAAAGAAGGGGCCAAAAGTTCCAAAATTTATCCATCCCTACCCTGCTTTCGTCGAAAGATTTGAGTATCCCAAGGATTCAAAATCCTAGATTTTGGCATTTTCACTGGGGAATCATCCTTGTCCTCATTGGAACACGTGGCCAAATTCATTGCCCAATGCGGAGATATCAACAACAATTGCCACAAAATGCGGTTGTTTAACTTATCATTGACAACCACGGCATTTGCATGGTATATCAACCTTTCATCGAATTCAGTGCAAAATTGGGAGGAATTAGGCGAGAAATTTCACGAGTAATTCTATCGGCTAGGGATGGAAGTGTCAGTATCATCCTTAGCCAGAATGGCTCAGGCATCTGATGAATCACCAATGGAATACCTTACCAAATTTAAATCGGCCAGGAATTGGTATCGAGTACCCCTTCCTGAGGCCGAATACATTCAGATTGCCCAAAATGGTCTAGACATGGAATACAAGAAGAAATTCATGGGAGCAAACTTTCAAGATATGTATGAGCTGGCCCAGCATGTTGAGCAATATGATTATTTGCTCAAAAGAAGAAAAAATCTCGAAGACACCAATTCGAGGAACAATGTACAAGAATCCGTTAGTGAGCTATGCATCGGCTGGGGCGATGAGTCCCAATATATTAGTGTGGATGCAGTTGAGATCGTGATTAACAAGCCTTATGTGACTACACGTGGCTTACATCATAAGTAGCTACACGTCACATGTAGATTGTGGCTACAAAAGTAGCTACACGTCACATGTAGATTGTGGCTACACGTGGCTTACATAAGAAGTGCCAATATACACTAATTGAATGAGCATTTGACAGATTTTATTTTGGCTAAATTGGATTGTTCATCCCTGTGGTCATAGGACACTTGCATGATGACTCCCGTGGTGAAAAAACTAGAAATTAAACCCCTGTGGTCTAGAATGTTAGCAAATTTAGTCCAAAAGAAAGATTTTTGTTAAAGGACTGTTAAAAGTTGGGGTAAAACTGTTGTGAACACGGAAAATTCCTGAAACGAAAGAGACAAGAACGACGTGCACAAACAAATATTTGTATTTGATGATTTTGGGTTACAATCTCTCTCTATTTTGATCCTCTGATTCGATCTCCGTAAGGTATTGATTTGTGGATGTGTCCTTGATCCAAGGGCCGTCGAGGCTTGATCTTGGATGAACTGTTGGAAGTTTCTTCAAGGGGCCGTGGGCTTGATCTTTGAAGGTGGATTTGAGCAGATCTTCAAATGGGCTTTTGGGCTTGATCTTTGAAGAACAGTGACGAACGGATCTCCAAGGGCTTTTGGGCTTGATCTTGAAGAACAGTGATGAACGGATCTTCAAGGGCTTTTGAGCTTGATCTTGAAGAACGGTTGGATGTGTGGATTTGTCGACGTTGTTGATCCAAAGGGCCGTTGGGGCTTGATCTTGGATGAACGGATGATGAACGATGGTGCTTTCTTCAAGGGCCGTCGGGGCTTGATCTTGAATTGGTGGATGGTTGATCCAAGGGGCCGTTGGGGCTTGATCTTGGAAGAACGATGAACGAAGAACGAGGAACACTTTCTTCAAGGGCCGTCGGGGCTTGATCTTGAATTGGTGGATGATTGTTGATCCAAATGGCCGTTGGGGCTTGATCTTAGGATGAACGATGAACGAAGAACGCTTTCTTGATTCTTCGGGAACCTGGATGCTTGAGAGCTTCGGAGTTTCAGAGCTTCAGAGCTTCAAGAGTTTTGCCTAATTTGTTGCCTTGCTATTTAATTAATTGTCCAAATTTTGCACAATGGTTGGGTTAAATATGGTCCAGAAATTAGATGTGATTCATCCTATGAAGATGAGTACTGTAGGCACAAAAATACTTGCCCCGGTGATTACCAGACAAAGGAACAGTGTGCTGATGTTTTTCAGTACATACTCCCTTATGCAAAGGCTTCTTCTGTGAGCTCCTCCCCTCTCTCTCCTTTTTTTTTTTTTAAATTCCATGTGTTTGCATACATTGCATGTGCCTATGCTCACCATTACAAATTATCACGAGGGTTCTAATGACAAGGCGTTGCAGCATTCTTTCTTTACTTGATTAATTGACTAATGAATGATAAGACTTTATCTCTAGTATTCTCGAATGCTTAGACTATGTGTATGATTCGTGTAGTAAAAATGTATCAGCCTATGCTCGTCATCTTTTGCGTCTGCCTATTCTCCTCACCTTTTGTTTTCCTTTATGCCATTGGACCAATTCATAAGCCTCCTATATTTGCTATGGAGCTTTGCCTATTCATACATAGTTATATACCCACAATTTCAAATTTTGTGCAGTTAAAGGATAGAAGTGATTAATCCCATTGAACATGGGAGGAAGTGTATCGAATCGCCAAAAGAAACTGAACATTATATGGATGCATATGCCTCAAATGCATGTTTGTTGTTTATCATTCTGATTTGTGAATTCCGCAGAAACCAAAAGATTTTTGTCTCGAAAAGTTTCATTTTATAATGATCCTGTTTACAGGAAGTAGACTTGTTGCTAAATGAAGGCCGGATGGAGGAAGAATGCTACTTTACCTCAAAGAGTTGAGACAAGTCGAAGGAGGAGTAGACGGTGTCTAGTAATGAGTTTGGCTCTGGCAAAGACATCAGTTCAGCAGTTTAGACCCCTTTCTTTCCTCCATATTATTGTATTGGTGGGGAGTGGGGTATTGTCTTTTCTCTTTCTTGCTCATGTTGGCCATACAGGTCCTTTGGGATTTTCCAAATTTTT